AACCCAAGTAACTTTACCAACTGCTTGATCTCCTGTTGAATTTATCACCCCGTTCATCCCTGTCAGGTTCATGGAGCTGGGCCTGGAGAAGAAGTTGGAGACACTTAGTACATCGGCATTTTCATGCTCCAGCCCAGCGAGTTCCGAGAAGGTGAAGCGCCTCACCACCTGGGAGCCCTTACTTACCACCAGCGGCAACCCAATGCCTGCATTTCCAGCACTCCTAGGCAATGTGGCAATGCTAACTCTTCGTAGGGATGCTGACGGCTACACAAATAAGAGGCATTACTGACTATCAAGGAACAACTGCGTTACTCACTGGTCACATCAAACGCCATCTGGTTTTGTACAAACTGTATATTAAATAGACCTTGATACCGAGCCTGAAGTGACACACTAGTCGTAAGGACAGCCCAAACCATGTTCTTTAAAGCAGCATCTTTGCCTATTAACTGCTTTTTCCTCCCCTAAGGATCTGAAGCAAGGCTGGCTACACAGCTTCAAGAAAAACAGCAAAACTGAAGGCATCCAAATTCTCCTAATGGTGCTCATAGGAATTCCCACAGTCAGCTTGAACTGCTCCCATGTATTTTTTCCACCTCTGTGCTAACCCCTTCTCCTGCATCCCCAATGACAGAACCACACACGAACAGTATTTTCTAACCACTGTGTGAGAGCACAGCCATTTCAGCTGCTGTGAGCACTTCGTTTAAGTGGGACCACATGCAGTTCCCTCAGGTCAATGGGGGCAACTGAAAAAAATCGTATCTTTGTGTTTGAGGAGACCATCCCGTATTTGAGATGGAAAACTACCAACTCAGATGTGCAGCAGAGCACCAGCACATGCCAAGGCAACCCCCACCACCCCCTCCCCGGCCCATAAACACACTTGAAGTTTGATGTTAATTGGTAATGGCCATTACCTTAAAGTTAAAAGGGTTCGGTAGCTTCTTATTCGTAGAGTCATCTGCCAAGAGATCAAAGGCCAAAGGCTTACAGGGCTGCAGGGAACTATTTGCAAGTAAAGGTCTGACTGACTTTTTGCTGTATCTCTTTAAGCAAAGAGTACACCCAGAAAGCAGAAATGAGAGTTCAGGAAAAAGCTCTTTAATTTCATTATTCACATGCTATACATCCTCTACAAGCATCAATTTCTGTTTGTTATCCAGGCATTGCCCTGTTACAGGCCATTGTACAGCCAGGAAAGAGTATCTGCGATACAGAAGGCTCCTGCAAGGATTTTACTGGTGTGCAAGACTGCTTCTTCCTGGATTTAAACTACATGCTCTGTTTTTTGGAAGAGTTTAATCCTTCTCTGGCAAAGCCACAAGCGCACAGCGCCAGCTGGAAGCCGACCACCCTACCACCTGCTTAGAGGGGGAAACTCGGAGCAACTGCTCTTCAGGAGTCTGTAATTCCTATTTAGACAAGAGCAGGCAGCATCTTTAGACAATTAGACATCTTTAGACATATTTAGACAAGAGAGCAGTCGGAGCTCGGCTACCTGGAAATAGCTACCGGGAACGCTCCGGTGTGAGGGAGCACCCAAACTTGCTGCTCCTATCTCCAAGCACCATACGTTTTTCTGAAAGGCAGAACACTACTGCACACTTGCAATGCTTCCCCCCCAACACCCAGGATTCATGATGGTTTGCATACAAGCCCAGTTTCAGAGAGTGGTTTCTAACACTGTTAGTAAATTACTATTTCCCCCTCCCCCTCTGTTTTTAGAAAAGGAGACACTACAGTCATGTAACCCTTCCACCCAATATGCTAAGCTTCACCTAGGTAAAGGTGGCAGGTGCTAGAAAGAGGGAAGATGAAAAGCTGCTCCATTACCTCGATCTCCAAGAGAACTAAAGGATCTCTCGTTCTGGAGCAGGACCTGCTTCAGCTCCTCAAGTTCTGCGTGTTCTTTTGCGTACATGCGCTTCAGGTTTTCCACGTGTTGGATCATTACTTCCACGGCCTTGCTGACACGGCTCTCCTGGCAGAGCGAGCGCAACAGCAATAGGAGAAAGAAGCGGCTCTTTCAGGAACTGCATTGTGTTTACAGTTTGAGACTTTGGGTTTTCCCTCCCCTTCCCCATCGACTGTCATCTCGTATCACTGCGATATAACACCCTCTCGTTTCTGCCTGAAGTTTCACTACGACCCCTCTCCCAGCATGTCCCCAAATTACACAGGTCTCATTTACCCAGTGATTACTCTTATCCTAAAATAAGTTAGTCTTCACTTGCTGATCTCTTACAATTCCTCCTCATCTCCTCGGTCCTACAGTCTCAGCTGCCACCACACGTTTGCTGGTATTGCCAAGTTGTATTTTCATATGTTGTCCCTTGGAGTTGCACACAATTAACATAACATTTGAGCAGTCCTTTAAGTTTCCATAGATTTAGCTTATTAGCCACCCTTTCCACAAGGCACAGAGTTACCCTTAGAGCATCCAGACTCTTGTTACCCCATTGCATTCTTGTGCTCTCTACTGTATACATCCCCTGATGCAAACTTTTTTCAGTATTTGTTTATGTTTTTTGTTATGTTTTAAATTGGGACCATTTTTTGTGCTGTGTGTTTTTTGCACAATGCTAGTGCAATGTCACAATGCCTGGGATTCTTTGTAACACAAACAGTGATCAGAGAAGAGAAAGCCAGGACTAAGCTGTACCGATCAGTCTGCATTACATACACGAGATTCCCAAATCTAATCCTGGAATCGGAAGCTTAGCAAACAGGGACTGCCATCCCTTTACGCCCGGAAGCTTTTAACTTTGTACAAGATACATGTATATGGAAAATTACCTGATTAATAGCTCCCAGCATCTCTGCTCTACTGGCAACTCGGGCCGCGTACTGGCTAAGGAACTGTAAGCTTTTCTGCAACTTCTTAATAATCTCCTGCGCCTGGTTATCCTCTTCACACAAAGGCACTAAAGCCTAAGAGGCACACAGGTAAGAAACATGAGTTATTAATAGAGAAGGAAGGGTGAACCAACTGATGACACTGAGGAGTTGTGTTCAGGCCCACACCGTGACGATATCAGCATCTGACACCCTTGGTCAGTGTAACTTGGATACAGACCTTCCCCTTACCTAGCACAAGATCAGCTGAAGATGGGTTCTTGCCCAGCATCTGCGCAAAGTTTCCCCACTGCCTGAGCACAACATGCCCTCAGATGCAAATTCTGTCACGTTTGCAATAGAGAAGTTTCCCCACTGCCTGAGCACACCATGCCCTCAGATGAAGGCTGCCCCTCAGATGCAAATTCTGTCACGTTTCAAGTCCATCGCTTATGGACTTTGTTCAGATTTGCATATAGTGTATTACACACACAAACTCTAAAAAGCGCTGTATTGAGAGGCACTTTCATGACCATCCATCCCATCTACCCTACCAGCCTCAGCCAAGACTAACCTCTAACATCTTTAGGGCATGTGTGATCTCCTTTTTCAAGTTCTCTTCAGCCAAGTCCCGGGACCTTTCTTCAAGCTTCACTCTCTTGTCCAAGGTAAACAAGTCACATTTAAAACCTAAGGACAATCTCAGAAATTCAGCCTGTTGTGGGAGAGGAAGAGATTTCGGAATAATGCAAGTGATGCAGAAGCCTTTGAAGTAGAATTGGATGCTGACATGACGTGTGGACTGCACCCCACGACGAAGTTCTAGGGGAGGGGAGAGAGCAAACACAGCCTGCTTTCACAAAGCCAGTCTTCCCATCTGTAGCGACGGGGGAATTGATCTGCAGCCGGAACAGGTGATATCTTGGCAACACGCAGTGTGCCATCTGCATCTTTGGATAAAACTGTTTCAAATCAGCATGTTCTGCCTGGGAGGAGGTCACAGCTATGCTCCTTCAAGCTTGCAAACAAATGTTTAAGCCAGTGGCAAATCTTTTGTTCAGTTTTACTGTTTGCCACCTTTTCCCATCCCATCTCTTCCAAAATTTCCATTTGGCTTGGAAAGGCAGATTTTAGACGCCAACTTACAGAATTACATCCTCCTTAAGCTATTCAGCACCATTCTTTTACATGGGACAAGATGTTAATGATGGCTTGTTAACAAGATCTTTCCGTGGCCTGAGATACTTAAGGATACAAGCAGTCAAGACTTACCTCCACTTCCTTCTCATTAGGAGAGTCCCTGTAGGACAAGAAGCAGCAATCATGTGACAGACCGCAGCTTTAAATTCATACCTGCAGGTGATCATCAGAAGTCAACACACTTACGCCTCGTTTTGCTTTGTTTTATCTGCTTTAATGCCACCTGCAGCAGGTGAACTCCCTGAGAAGAGGGAAAAAAAAGCCTTCTCAGAGAGAAGTGAAGAAACAGCCTCCCCAAAACAGCCTGTGAAAGTCTTTCAAGCTCCAACCGAAGCCACTTAAAGATTTCCAGCGTCAAGCTCTTGCCAGTAAACCCAACTTGTGTGCCTTGGAGCACGTTGGGGTTCGTTTCAGTAAGATGGCACAGCACTGCCACGTGTACGAAGCCCCAGGAGTAGTAGATTAGTTGGCTTCAACTGGCATTCAGTTAGTACAGGAATGATCAGTTACAGGTTTTGCTTTAAGTGCCCAGCCCGTAGGAGCAGGATGTTACGTGATTTACTACATCACTAGCTTTCATAGTGAGCCCGTGAGGCAGGTAGGAGAGATGCCTAAGCACAGTTCAGTGCCCTGCTTATCTATGTCATATGACCCCAAACTCTAGCTAGCACAAAGGATGCTGCTTTACAGGCACTTGGGGAAGGCAAGCACACCAAAACTCTTTCAAATATCCCAACTCCTTTGCAACTTGTAAGAAGTTTTGCCTCCTGTCGAGAGGAAGATGGAGCTGGTTAGATCAGTGCCTGTAGAAATCAGAGAAGGGTTTGTTTTTTCTTTTTAATGATAGTGTTTTCCTTCTCTCCACTGCTAATCCATTTTGACCTTAACTGCATCTGCTCTTCCTTAAAATGAAACACCCCGTAATAATTGCTGTGGGGCAGGCACTCTCCGCACAGGTCTTGACACAAGTGACCAAGCACGTGCTCCCCTGGAGTTACACGGATGCGTTCAGCAACATAAACCTCTCACCTTTCCTACTGGGAACCACAGCTGGCGCCTCCTCACTCTGCTCTTTGTTTTTCTTTTCCTGGTCCCCCTCCTAAAGGCATGTTGGAGAGCAGTTATAGCACGGGAGCAGCCACAGTGCCGCTGGAGGGGCCTGTCCCCTCCGGCAGTATTGTTGTCACTGCTCAGTCTGGTAGGACTCTTACCAGCTCTTGCTTTAAAACATTCTGAAACTCAGGTCTGCGTTCTTCTGTCATGGGGCAAAATTCCTCCTTGGTCAGATCCACTCCTGGGGAGAAACATTCCCAAAACCAAAGTGTAACAACAAAACCAAAACACGAGGCTCCAACACCCTACGTACTAGCCATGGACCGACCAGGCCAAGAGAAGCTGCAGCGAGTGCCAGGAGAGGGCATTGCAAAGGAGAGGCAGCAGCAAAGAACACCAGAGAGATGAAGGAAGGAGTGCAGTGATAGTTATGTTTTATTGGGATTTTTCCCAAAGTAGAAGCGTTACGTGTCTACAGGTGAGAACGTTACTCCTAGTTGTAGTTAATGCTACAAGAATTACGTTAATATTCCCTTGGATAAGTTAATTTCATTTTTTGCTACCAACATGAGGCAGGGTTTTCCTTTGCTATTTATAAAGAGACAGTTTACAATTAATTTGTATTCAGAATTCTATAAGCACGAGAATATGAAAAAGAGGGTACCACGCACAAACTAACAGTGATGAGCATTTGTAGTTCTGTTCTTCCACGTTACAGAATATGAGGTGAAGCCAAGGAATAGGTGTTATTTCAGCTGCCCTTACAGAGCACCTTGGGTACAACCAGCTCCTGAAGTGCATAGCTGTGGTATTTCAGGTGTCCATAAGCTTCCAACAATCTACCACTTGGACGGTCCTTTGTGCCCAAAAACTTAACTAGCGGGGTGCCGATAGAGCCCACGCAATAACTCTTTCCTGGAAGACAAGTGGTGGTGAACTGATAAGTTCAGGGACTGACAGTGCCAGCTCAAAAGGCACCACAGGCTTTCAGGTGCCGCAATTTAGAAACGCTTTAAAACAGGCAAAAATAACCTGCAGGAAAGCAGCCATTAAAAGATTTAAAGAGGAAAATCTGTAAGAAACCAAAGAAAGTCTGAGAGTTACACTAATTTCATGTGTAGCAGTAACTGGTAGCTATTTATACCTTTCAGAACATCTAGAAAATTTTTTGTCTTTTCTGTTTATGTAGTCACACACCCACCCACACAAATGCAAGCCAATGAAATGGCACAGTAAAAAGAAAACCCAGAAAAGCCACCTCCAGGTTTGAAGTGCTTTCTCTTTTCAGCCTTCACAACCACCTCTGCTCACTGCTCCCTTTTGTCCCTTTTGCAGCAGCCCTAAACAGCCAACCTGGCTCCCAAGCACCTTCAGAAGATGTCGCGTGGTACCAGCAAAACCACAAGTGGAGATTCATCAGCTCTAATACTAGAAACACTTTCTATTCAGGTGTGCAGCAGGCAGCAGGATTCTCAGGCTTTGAAGCTATTTGGGCTCTGATCTGTTTTGCATATGTTTCCTCCTTGACAAAGACACTCAGACCACATATAAAAACAGCAGAGGCAAATTAGTAGAAAGAAACATTTTTAAGCGAGGGGACTGAATTAGATTTCAGGAAGATTGTACTAAAGAAAGAAACAAAACCAAACAAGAAGTAATGACAAAGTCTTATATTTAGGTAAAGGTTAAAGAATGGTTAAAAACAAGTATGCACATGTATCCTGTGCTGCTTATTCAGCGCCTTTTTTTTTTTTTAAATAGCTTAAATAACCTAGAAGCACGACAAAACCGGTGTGTGCGCATACAGCATAAGTGCTGCTTCAAGCACCCTCAGATCCGGTAAGAATAATTCCTCCGGGTGTTTGTGGCTATAGCAAAACACAGAAACCTATGCAAAGACCTGTATCCTCATCTCTCCTTCACAGAACCACTGAGGTTGGAAAAGACCTACAAGATCATCTAGTCCAACCACCAACCCAACACCACCGTACCCACTAGACCACGTCCTTCTTGACCCATCCCAGCTTCCTGCACGCTAAGCATCAGTTTTGAAAGAGAGGAAATTGTTACTTAGGCTACTTGTGTCACTAAACTTTTTTTAAACCATGGAAACACACTCTCTCCTCCCAAAATCACCTGGGATTTAGTACCCACAGAGTGTTTCACCAGCTGAGCAAGCATCAAGGTTTCACTAAGTTGTGTCATGTTTACCTCCTGCAGTGCTGTAGGCTACCGGCCTCCTGCAAGTAGTTAAAGCCTTATTCTGACCCAGTTTCCTGGAGGGTTGAGCACTTGCAGGCAAAAGTATGTTCAGCAACAGAGTCACAAGTTGTCTTTTTCTTAGCCTCCTCACTGTGCTGGAAGCAAGCTGTTCCCTCACAGCGCAATCGCCCGCGTACTGCAGTGACTACTGTACCTGATACAGGACCAGCCGCATCCTTGTTGTTGTTTTTCTCCATTCCTATGGCAGTTGGCAAGCCTTCCTCTTTTCCATGGGAGCACTTGGGTGGTTTTTCCTCCATAACACGGCAGCCTACAGTATCAGGGAACAGAAGGCAGAGCCCTTACCATTCAATAAGGGTGCAGACTTCAACATACCTATTTCCAAAACTTCCAGGGCAAAAGGTTCACACGTGTGTGCCCCAAGCGAAGGGCTTACCCGTTACTGGCGCGGTGCTTCCCAAAGAGGATTCAAGAACTTCCTGGGGTGATGTTAAGCGATCACTGCCAAAAACAGAATTTCTTTCAGATACCCATCCATAACATACAACCTTGATAAAGGCTCCTAGAAGCTTGCACAAAACCTGACCTGGGTGGGATCAGACTGGCTGGTAGCGAAGGCTCTGCACAGTCAATCTGAAGAGAAAGAGCAGAGTGTTAATATCAGGGGAGAGGGTTGCCTTGTGGGTAGAAGTTTTGTATGTCAAAGTTTTATTTCCTCCAGTTGCACCCAAATCATTTCGGCAGTGAAGAACTAGATAGTAAGTGCATGCAGATTCATCTAGGCTAAAGCCACCCATACACGCAGTACGTAGCTTAGCGTGTTATCGTTAGGAGTGATAACCATGTTTCTGCAGAAATCTTATCTTGGGAATATCATACTGAGAGACGTATTTAATTTCCTCACTTCGTGTTTTGCTTCGAGCGCTCATTTTCAGCTGGCTGATGTACGTGTTACCGCACTGCTGTGCTCTCTCAATGCCGTGCATCAAGATACATCCATTTCCAAGGTCTTGACCTCACACCCCACAAGGGAGGGGAACAAAACTTCACTGGGCTAGAGATGTCAGGCTCGTTTAGGTAAATAAAAGCATCAGTAGTAACAGCTTGACACAGCAGATGATTCAGAATGCAGAAAACCCAAAAGTTTTGTTGCACGTTCTTGTGTGCATCTTTGAATGACACTAGTTTCCAATATCATATATAACAATTACCAAGCCAACTCTGAAAGCTTCAGGCCTCCCCCTTTGCATGCAAACAGCAGAGAGGGGTGCAGCAGTTAAAGGCTGGCACATAGTCTTGCTCATATTCCTTTAGCCAGTGTGGTTCTGGGGCCAAGTCTTATCGCTTTACAGACAAAACCAACATCCTCTTAAGTGTTTTAATATGGCAAGAGAGATCCTGAATGGGAAACAGCCCTCTTCCTCATGTGGCCCTGGATAACTCCAGATTGCCAGTTCAATTGATGGATTGGTCTTTATGGATGAAAATACAGGGTGAAACAGAGGTTTAAAGGGTTAAGTCCATACTGACTTGTGATGAACTCCACCCACTGCTGAAGAGGAGTGATGAATAGATTAAAAACCCACCAAAAGCAGAGCCTGTCTCCAAGCAGAGAAGGTATGAGGCTAGCCAGCTTTGGGCATCTCCCTACATACCAAGCATCCAAGAGCACTGCTGAAGTGCGTGTGGGGAATACAACAGAAAAACACGTATCAGCACACGATCACCTATGTTCTGGTGTCTTTCCTCCTTCCTCAGATGTCCTCACAGGACCCAGGAAACCCAGAAAATTAGAAGAGGAGGTGACCAAGGCCACATGCCACTTCCGAGAGTAACCGGCTGCTCCCAGCATCAGTAAGTGCCTTTTCTCTCCGCTCCCCCACCCATCAGAGCTCGGCTGCACTCGCAGAGCCTTGCCCCAGACAGCCGGATGTTTCCTCTAATGCAAATCCAAGCTATTTTTATTCTTGTTTGAATTCTCTATTAAGCTTAAGGAAGTACAGCACTGCAGTTGCCTCGTTCAGGCCATTAGGGCTACAGAAGTACTGGGGAAGGAGAAGGTGAAGACGAATAGCATGTTGGAATGAAAATGAGAGGTCTAAAGGGTTTTTAAAACAAACACACACACCCCTTTTGCATCACCTGGGACTGACATTATACATCATTCAACACACCCTCCTCCCCAGATAACCACATGGTCAGTGGTTTCTGTTTGCAATGAAGGAAAACCCTCAATTCAGCTTTTAGAACCCCATACTGTTAGGATTGCGAGTTCCCATGGATTCACAGGCTATGCTTAGAGAGAAACAACAGGAAAGCCCCTCATTCTAGATTTCCTGATAAAATCTGTTTGCACAGGTCAGGGAGATTGGCTGTTCTTCCTAATAAAAGAATGTGTCAGAGAAGTTCCTGCAGTATATTCCTAGTCATTTTTTCCCTCCCCTCCATCCCTTCGCTTAGCATAATAATCCTCTATCACAGCAGACAAATTCTAGCCATAGTCTTGCATACCTCCTCCCATACAACAGTTTAGTCCAACATTTGGATGGCCTATCATCTTGTTTTTAGACGGTGATACGACTTTCATGTTTATAAATTGAAACAAGTATAAAAAGCCTGGGAAACTGAAATGAACTGAACTGGCCCACTGAAACCAGCCTTCATCTGGTTCTCACAACATCTCCTTTAATAAATAGCCCCTAAACTCTTACGGTGACAATGCCTTGACAAAATTATTTGAGTTACTTACATGCTGAAGGGCTCGATCTGCTCAGACACATCTGCAACCACAGTGTGAAAAAATAAAAAAAAACCCTAAAAGCTAGGGAGACTTTTCCTATTAAACAAGGATATTCAAATTTTGCTGCACGTCACAGTTTTTAGAACAGATACTGGACACGGCCCATTTGCCTTTTCTCTGGGGCAAGCTTTAACATTTAATTTCTCCCCTCTAGAATATTCACACAGAAAGCTGACATATTAAAAAACAAACCCAAAAATGGAAAGTGACATCTCTAAACCCAGATGGAAATACAGAAAGCTCCGGAGTAATGAAGCACAGGCATTTCAGACAACTTTGTAAAAAACAGGACCCAAA